TCTTATCTGGATCGGTAATACCAAGTGAACCATGAGTGCTACTTTGTTGGATTTTGCTGGTTTTTTTGTCAGGTGTAGAAGCATCTTGTTGATTAGTAGTTGAGCCCATTGCTTCTTCTTTGAGGCATTGTTTTAGAACACCCATATCCATTATTAGTTCTATTATATTTAGTATAACTTCCAACACCCTTAACGTGCAGGAAGAGCTCTCTCTCACTGAGGTCCTATGAACGGCCTAAAAAAATATCATTAAATCATGTTAAATTTACATACAATGTTTACCTGTAAAACAACTTGAAGATCAATATCACCATCTTTAGTTATATAGCAGGTGGCGCCTGGTGCCTCAGGTACATCTTCTCCAGCATACGTAATATTAGAATCTGTTTGTGAACGAGTTAAACTAGACTTTCTTTCTTGCCAGTTACCTAGTTTACTGCCTGATAGACTCGCAGCATCGAGTTGGCTATCCATGGAGCCCTAAAATATAATTACAGAGTGTCAAATAAACTTTCATATATCCTATCTTCCTTTTCTTCCTTCTTGTGCAGTCATTTCTTGACATTTTCAAGATTACTACACCGATATTTATTTGATTTAATTGTTATGCAAAAACGGTTCATTTTAGTTTATTTCTACAATCTTATATTTTAAAAATGGGTACAAATATAGAATATTTATATTCTTTTTTAGATTTCATCTGAAAAAAATTTTAGATAGATCAGCATGTCAGAACCGCGAAACATTTAGCTAAAAACGTAAAAACCACATCCGGTGAAAAATATTAATCTTCAGTGTCCAAGTGCTTTCAGGCAAGTTCCAAAAAACAAACAGAACAATAAACTTTTAACGAACACTTGTGTCGTGCATTTCTATCTTCTAATATACCGCTTTCAAAATTATCTAATGAAAATTTTAGTTCTTTTGCAAATATTGCAAACAAAACAGTCTCAGTGAACGACCTCTAAAGAGAAATAATGTCAATTTGTTATACTCCTCAGTTATCCACAACATAAAAGCCGAAATAGGTAATAATTACTTTTTCATATGTGTGGACGAGACCACTGACTCATCAGGACTCATCAGGAAGATACGTTGTGCACTTATTGATTGAAGTACTTAGCGGTAAAACATTTCCAAAATCATATTTAATTTTCTGTAACTAAATGGAAAAAACCAATGCTCTAACAATATCACGGCTTCTACAAGAAGCATTAGCAAACTTTTTTCTTTCTGCTGCTGTGCCTAATGATAAATTATTGCTTTTTTGTCTGATATAGCCGCACCATATATGGTGAAAGCAGGACAAAATTAAAAAATATTTTATCCAAACTTAATATATTTATGTCACTTGTTTAGCGCATGGAATAAACAGAGTTGCGGAGGAAGTAAGGAAAAACTTCCACTAATTAGCAGTTTAATAGCGAGCGTCATAAAGGTATTCCTGAAATCACCTGTAAGAATGCAATGCTACAGAGATATGCTTCCTGCTGTTCCACTGCCACCTCGACCCATTTTAACACGTTGGAGAACATGGTTGGAAGCAGCTAATTTTTATGCTGATTTTTTGTTGATTTTAAAAAAATAATTAACCTTTTAACGGATGATAGTTGCCAATCTTTATTGGAAGCTCAGCAAGCCTTCCAAAATCACATCCAGAACATAGTTTTGTCCAGAAAACTATAACTCAATTAGAATCCTCAAAATTATCATTATTAGAGAGTACAGTTTTCATCGAACATCAACATAAACATCGAACAACTAAACCAGAAAATAGTCAAAGCTCTGAAATAAGCACAAGAAAAATGTTGCCCAAAAAACCAAAAAGACGAAGAAAAACTAAGTCTAGGCACGAAAACTCTATTAGAGGAAAGAAGACAACTAACAGATAAATACAGAACCAATCTAACAAAAATGAGACAACTAAACAAACACATCACTAAGAACATCAGAAAAGATATAAGAGACTACAACACCAGAGAGATATCAAAAGTCATAGAAGAGAACAAAAGTTTAAAAGTCTTCAGAAGGAAACAGCAAATAGGAAAGAAAAATATTTACAAACTGAAAAACACAAAGGGCGAAATAATAACAAATAAACAGGAAATTCTACAAACTGTCAGACAATTTTACAGCGAACTCTACAGCAAAACAGAAGAAAATGTTCCAACTGACAACATACCAAAGGTTCTAAACCAGGGCTCGGAAGACATACCAGATGTTACTGTTGATGAAATCAAAAAAGCTCTCCTACAAATGAAAAATAATAAGTCACCTGGCGACGACGGGGTCGTTGCCGAAGCCATAAAATTAGGAGGCGAGAAACTGATACAAATGCTTTCCATACTTTTCACAGAATGCCTTGAAAGAGGAACAACACCATCACAATGGCAAAATGCAGTGATCATTCTAATGTTTAAGAAAGGAGATTTAACAAATCTCGTAAACTATAGACCAATCAGCCTCATCTCACACATATACAAGCTTTTTACAAAAGTTATAACAAACAGACTTTCGAACAAAATGGACTTTTACCAATCATGCGAACAGGCAGGATTCAGGTCAGGCTTCGGCACAAACGACCATCTACAAGTTATTAAAAGCCTCATCGAAAAATGTATAGAGTACAATAAACCCCTCGTCCTAATATTTGTGGATTATGAGAAAGCATTCGACACAGTAAACCACCAGAAAATGCTAGAAGCTTTAAAAGAGTGCCGAATAGATCACCGCTACACCACTGTCATCAAAAATATCTATGATAATGCCACGGCATGCGTCAGACTCCATGAAGATACACACAAGTTCAACATTCATCGTGGAGTTCGCCAGGGCGACACCATTTCACCAAAACTGTTTACAACATTATTGGAATACATGTGTAAGCGTGCAAATCTAGACGAAAAGGGCATAAACATAAATGGAGAGCAGCTTAGTCACCTCAGGTTCGCGGACGATATAGTCCTGATAACAGACCGCATAGATCATGCCATCGAAATGTGCGAAAGACTCTACCATGCCTCTACACAAGTGGGTTTAAAGATCAATAACTCAAAAACACAAGTGATGACAAACCTTGTTCTGAGTGAGAACATCAACATAGCTGGAACAAGTATAGAACAAACATCAGCATACAAATATCTGGGACACGAAATTCGCTTAAGTAGAGATAACCAGACCAATGAATTAATACGTAGAATAGGGTTGACATGGGCAGCTTATGGAAAGCTAAGAGATGTTTTCCAATCAGCTCTTCCCATCTGCTTGAAGAGAAAAGTCTTCGATCAATGTGTGCTGCCGGTTCTAACCTATGGTGCGGAGACGCTAACACTTACTAAGACGTCCGCAAACAAAATTCGAACAACACAGAGGGCAATGGAACGGTCCATGTTGGGATTAACCCTGAGAGACCGAATACCCAACACAGAATTGCGCCGTAGATCGGGAGTAACCGACGCAATCAAAAGAATATCAACCTTAAAATGGAACTGGGCAGGGCACGTCGCGAGAACGAAGGACGGCAGATGGACAAAACGCATTCTTGAGTGGAGACCCAGACAAGATGCCTTTAGAATAGAGGACGACCACCAACAAGATGGACGGATGACCTGAAACGGACACATCAAAATTGGATGCAGGCGGCTCAGGACAGAAATTTGTGGGGTGAACTACGGGAGGCCTATGTTCAGCAGTGGACGAGTATGGGCTGAATGATGATGACAGTTTTCATAAAAGAATTTGAGTAATTGTGTCAAAACGTGAAAGGTACTATTGGAAAGTAAGTTTTTCAAAAATTTAAAGTAACCATGGAAAAAAATAGTGGTTACCAGGTTCTTTCTGAAGTGGTTCAAATACTAGCTGGGGCATTTTCCGAACCACTTAATTTTGAACCATCTATTATAATAAATTTGAATAATGTCCCAGTTACATCAGTTGATGTCGATAGAAGTTTTTCTATTTACAAATATATGTATTCAGATAGAAGCCATAAGATTTTATTACAAAATTTTGAACATCATTTGATAATCGATTATTACCACAATTTAAAATAATATTTTTATATCAAAATAATTGTATATATTATGTATTTATAATGTTGTAAGTATTTTTGTAAATAAAAAAATATTGTAAATATTTTTTATTACATGCATATTTTCTAGATAAATATGCATATTTTGCATAAAATACTGCATATTTCATACTTTTTTATTTGCACATTTGCCCAAGTCTCCTCATCTTTAAAGGTTGGTAACCATGTATACCCTTTCATGAATAAAGACAGTCTGTGTTGAGAACGCGAAACGTGTTTAAGCTTATTTATTGAAGAGTTTTTATATAAAATAACTAACCTGTCGTCTTAAATAATCAGGAGAAGGTGTTGGAGTATGTTCAGTCACAGTAATGATGGGATTCGCCATAGGTTGGCTCGGTGCAAACTTCCCTACTCTTTTCACTTCCCATGTCATTTCGTCAGCGTATCTAGTCCAAGGAAAATTGCAATTAAGAATAATATTTACATATTTGTGTTAAGCGCCAAAAAGAAGTACAATAACAAGCATCTGAACACATATTTTGCCATAAAGGAGGAAATATAAAGCTTTTAGAAAACAATAAGATATTATATTAGCCAATTTTTGAAAATAAAATATAAATCTAGAAGCTGTTAAAATACACACATGAAAAATTATTAAGTATTTTTAAAATATTTTAAATAAAACAGCTTAAATTGGTTTTAAAAAGTTGAAATGCTACATTTAATTACAGCCACATTCAGAGAAATGTAAGGAAAAAGTAGGTATATATGCGGAAATACGAAAAACTTGCAAGTCTTTGTAATAATTATTATTTTTAGTCTCTGGACAAACCAACAGATTTATAACAACTGAAAAACGTTTCTACATAAATTTATTATTTACCCGCCTATGGTTTGCCCAATTATTTAAAGTACAAGTGCCTAACTTCAGACAAGTTGGCTAAAAAAATCGATATCGTCAAAATTTAAGGAATTGTGAGGTTATGGTACTGTCAATTCAATTTATTTTATTTACAGTTTTTAGTTTTTCTATATTTAAATTGAAGAAAACTGAAACAGATATCTTTTAACTGAAAGTCTACAATGAATCTAGATTCCATACCAAGAGATCTGAGAGGTCTGAGGGCTTGTTTAGTATGCTCTCTTATAAAAGTAAGCTTTGGATGGTCTGTTGTTTATTTTTGTTAACTCACATTTTTGTTTGTAGAATTTTGACCAATTTGAGAAGGAAGGATGCGAAAATTGTGAAGAATTTTTAAGAATGAAAAACAGCCACGATAATGTTTATGATTGTACTAGCAGTAATTTTGATGGGTAAGTTGATCAAAATTTTTAAGAACATAATTGGCAATTAAGCAAAAAGTGCCCTACTTCTGAAAAGAGTGATAAAAGTGTTGTACTTAATATCATTGCTGTTATGAGTTAAAGTAGATAACATATAACATGGTTAACAAACTTGGTGTGTAGTCAAGTTAATTGATTATCCTTTGGTTTTAGAATGATCTCTGTAATGTGTCCGGATGATAGTTGGGTGGCTAAATGGCAAAGAATTAGTGAGTATTTAAACACTGTACAATTTTTAATTTGCACTAATCTTTTTAATTAATTATAAATGGTTTGTAGGTCGCTTAAGCAGAGGTGTCTATGCCATTTCGGTATCTGGTACCTTACCGAAGAGTATTATAAAGGATTTGAAAAGCAGAGGCATTACTTATAAGAGTAGAGATACAAGTCAAAGATAAGGGACAAAATTACTTTAGAATGCAGCTTCAGCAAATGCAAAAATAAGAAAAATATGATGTTATTGACTGTATTTACAAGTGATTTAGTTTTATTTTTAAAAACTTGTGATAATTTTCACATTATATTAGTTTCATTTTATAAAAATGGTGTAATTGTTTTTAATATATTGACTACTTGAATTATATTGTATTTTGAATTAACAATTTGGAAAGCAGATAAAATAAATCAGGTTTTTTAGATGATATTTCTAAATTCTAAATGAAACACACAATGAAACTGTGATTATCTGTTCTTTTTCAAAGGAAGAGTCGTTGATTATCAAAAAACGTGAATTATAAATATATCAGGTAAAAGTAATATGAGAATAAAAAAAGATAAAGAGATTTCAAATACTGAAATGGACAGAAAATTCTTGACGAAGCTAATACTATGGCTAATAAACTAATAACAACTAGAGAAATAGGTAGAACCAACAAAATTAATAAACCTAGATCTAAAAATAATACAGAATAGAAGATTACTTCACAAAAATTCATTCGATAATGAATGCTACCAGCAAAATATGAAGCATACAGAAAAATTCTTACCCACCAAACTAGAACCACAGTGAATATTTACCAAACAAAAGAGAGAACCCCTTAAATATGAAACTAAAATATATAGAGAGAAAAAATCAGAAGATTCTATATTACCAATGTATGAAGAACAATTAACAGAAAATAAAGATGTATTTGAGCAATGGCTAGAGCCCACAACAAGATACTTTGATAACATCAATAAAGACATGAGCTTTGTGGAGAAATGTGATGATAAACAAAAACCCAAGCATGTTTCTTGGCAGAAAAACTCATAGATAGAAGAGATATGGGTAATATTTCTTCACTGAGCTTTTAAATGTAGGTAAAATTTCTCTAATATTTAGATATTAAATCTAAAGTAATTTCAAGTATATAGGGAATTGCTAAAACAAAATTTATAGAATAATTATTCCAATCTGTTGCGTCACTAAATATTTAAATTTCTTTTTATGTGTGTATTTTTATCAATTGTCTAATATAATGTCCACAGAAAGTCCATCATACTTACCCTCCCGGTTGATTAAGTTCATCTAAAATACAGCTAAGAAAGACAGAATGATAAGAACATTCAGAGAGACGAAAAGGCACATATAAAGGATTGCCGTAGTAAGGGAAGACTGCATTTTTGTTAGGCAATAGTAACAGAATATGTTGGCGAAAACAACATTATCTCTCAACAACGCTCAGTTGAGTGGAAATAAAATAACCATGCTTGTTTCTTAGTTACCCAAGGTTGCTGTTAACTCAATTTTGTTGTACCTTTAGGCAAATGTTAACATTTATAGTTGGGACGAAATCAAAAGTTTTTCAAATCTGGTTATCTTCATAAAATATTTAAATATTTAATATTATTTAAGTATGGTATATTTAAAACCCAAAAAATAGCTTATACTTCTTTAAAAGAATTTTCTAATAAATATTGAGCCTCTGACACAAGCTAGTTTCATTAAGTAGCTGCTGCATTATTTGAACTGTAACACACTGTATATTAAAGAGGATTTCATTCATAGAACTCGTTAATACAGACAGCAATACTTTTATGTACTGGAATTAGCTTTATTCTGAGTTTCTTCTAACCAGTTTTTTTTATATTCTGAAGGCAACTTGGTGAATAATATTTATAAGCTTATATTTTAAACTGGCTGAGATACAAGAATTTTTTGATAACTAGGGGAAGTGTGGGCAAGAGAGCATACTTAGTTTATTTTCCATGCATCTGAGACATAAAGAGAGCTAAATCATTGCTTTCCTCACATAAACGTGAGTGTTAAATACACAAATAATTATAAACTATTATTTTTAGAAAGAAAAGAAGCTCAACATCAAACATCTTAATTCATACAAAGTTTGCAACTGAATTGTTTTGGCAAGCTTAGCATCTTAACCACTTTTCATTAAATTTGGACCTACTAAACAAATCATTGCAGTAAATGTAGGCGCAGTCCTCTTGTTCAGCATCATCAATACTGAAATAATCTTCTTTATCACGTAGGTAATACATTTTTCAGTTTGGTCACAATATTTCTTTTGCTTCTCGCTGACTGCTGTCTATCATTGTTCACAGTGCTTCCTCCATTGTTTAAATCATTCACTATTTTTCTTTTCACGACATTCCTTTTCCTGCTTTTTATTTCTTGTGCTTGGAAGGGCTTAAGATACTTCAGAGAGGGACTGTCGGTTAACTAATCTTAGTATTGACCTACTTTAACGTTTGCTAGATTTTCTTACATTACTTAGAGACTTATAAAAGCCCGATTTATGTCCTTTTTCGTTGAAAACAACATTTTATCACAAAGTCAGTTCTGCTTTTTGTCTAATAAATGTACTAGCGATGTTATGTTTTCTGTACTACATGAGGCCTATCAAGCACTAAGTACAGGTTCAGGAGTAGACTTTTTTATTGACGAGATATTTGAAATTAGCATAGAAAATATAAAATATATCAGTCACACCAAAAAAGTTTGCATTGTCTTTTAAATCATTAAATGCGTTTTAAACGTATTCATTTTTTCGAATTCTAGGGAAAGTAATAAGTATATTTTAAAAATTTAAACGCAGAATGAAAGATTGTAACAAATCTAAGTGTATGCAACCTGTGTTATGTATATTGCCTACAAGTATATGCAACCTGTGTTTGCCTACCTTGTAGGTCGCTCTGCATCCTATGCTGTGCCATCCGTCCTACTAGAAAAAGGGCCAATACTGATTATGATCAAGGCTGCCAGGTCTAGGGATTTATCCCGAATCTAGGGATATTTCAGTATAAAAGGGACAAAGGGATTTTTTTGATATTTAGTGTAAAATCTAGGGATTTTTGACCGGCTCAAATATTTACCCACATAGGCCTATTATAATAACATTTTCTTTAATTCAGGTATAAAACCACTTCGTATTAACAGTATTAAATACACGATCTTTCATTACAACTAATTAAACTAACAGTAAACTACTTAAAGATTCTATTATCAGATGTCGCTAACTGTCCACGTTCTTGGAATCTTTATTTTATGCTACCAAATAGATTTCTGTCAAAAGTAGATTCCTATATATTTTCAGAAAGAAGCAAATTCTGGAGCTGGAATTAGGGGATTTACAAAAGTCCTAGCTTTTATAAAATAAATAATTAGGGGATTTACAGTAGGAATCGGGTGATTTACAGGATTCGTGAAAATCAATAAATAAAATTCTATGCTTCACCGTTTCATTTCTCTTCAAGTTGTATTTTGTATTAATTTTATTAAGTAAATATGTAAAGAATACGTACGTTATTCCGTTTTTGTTAAATTTATTCAAATGATCGCTATTGTACTGTTTATGAAATAAAGGTATAAAACAACAATTTTTTTATATCAATGTTATTATATTAGGCAACTATCAATACATCCCATAATTTTATTCAGAAATAGGCAACCATATATACATTTATTCCTATCTAGGGATTTCTAGGGATATTTAAATGTTCAATTTAGGGAGGACAAAAATTTTCACCTGGCAACCCTGATTATGATTATTATTAGTTTTTGTTTTGACTTAAGAGGTTTTTAACGTTTTATGCACAGACCACTAATCTGTGAGGTAGGTGATTTGTGGTTTTATGTTCTTTTTGTTTTTATCTAAGTCTTGTTAATCTTCAGTTTGTTCATGTAAGAACAGTGCTAAATAAATACCTTTTAACATTGAAAATCCATTCTTTTTCTAAAATAATTGAACGAACTCAACTTTAAGTTCCCTATTATTTTAAGTTTCCTACTAATAATCTACTACAAAACTATTATCAAAATATAAGTACATTTATAACAGTTTGTTGGAATGAATACTTTATTGAATCGTATGCTAGTCTTCCCTCTCACGGCCTTGTGGAGACAAATATTTAACAACACAATTGTAGTGCAAGTGTAGATTTTCCTGGAGTACTAATAATGCTGATAATTTAAAAATTACAGTGTGATCCACAGAATTTTTTTCGATCTCATAGAATATATGAAATTCTATACTTGCTGTAGATACAACAAACAAATAGGTGGGTACATTTATTTTTCCAGGGTAAAAAAGATGCTACATGAAGACACAAAAGCAACATTAAAAACAACAAAAATAAAAATTATAAAATACAGATATATCCATTGAGATATTTTAAAAATATTTTTTAAGGCTTTGACCATTAGTCATTCAGCCAGGCCATCTTTAAGTGTCATCATCATACCTGCTCTAATTTTTGAATGTTTTTCAAAGAGTGGTTCATCTAGCAGTAATCATACCATTTTCTTAGATGGGGGTTAGTTGTTACACGGGGCAGGTTGTTACATTTAATTTTAATCAACTGAACGAGATGGCAGCACCTTTAACTCGACGTAGTCACTACATCTTAAAACTTTGTTTAATGTTTGAATCCTCTGACGTAGACCGAGCATTTTTATGTTATTAGTAGCACTCAGTAATTTTTTTCAGCATTGTTTAAATTTTTGATGATTCTATTTTTACAAGGTAAGGTACCTAATCATCGTTTTCTGTCTTTTTTCTTAAATATAGATGTCATATATGCCTCCGTCCATTCCTTTGGGAGTTGTTCTCTATTTATGGCTTTCTGAAATATCCATTGTATCATCCGGTGTATTTTTTTAGAGCCGTATTTTATAAGCTCATTGAGATGCCTTCAGGTCCCGGTGCTTTTTTATTTCTTATTATTATTTTTTACTGTATTTTTTCCTACTTTCGTAAGAGGTATTTGTTGCTTGCTTTCATTATTTCAAAAGCCTGTAACTGATTGCTTCTCGAACTCCGGCATAGAAAAGCTATATAGTTGAAATTATACTTTAACAGTACTAGTGAGTTACCACTGGAAGGAAGAAAATGTATGGGATGCTCCATGAAATGATGGAGCTAAATTCGATATTGACACTTGCAAAAATGACTAATAACTAAATTGGAGAAGAAGAACTTCATTGAATTGCTCGTTCTGAACTGCGTTGATAACAATAAAACACTACATTTTTTTATCATATATGTTCAAATAAATGGAACCGATAGAGTGTTTGTTTCTTTAAAAAAAGAAGTAAAGGAAAATATTCTAAATATTACTATATTAAAATTTAATATCGTAAATA